CCTGCTGACAGCCCTGGGGAAGGAAACAAATTAACCCTGAGAAACACAAATTCCCTAAGGTGCTCTAATGTAGAGCACCTTCTTTTGATACCTCATTTGATAAGGTTATTTTTTTGCACAATCAGCTACTTTAAAAGTGCTTTGCAGCCATGCACGTGTGTCAGGATATAGCTATAGAGTGCTTTTAGGAGGCTGATCATGCAAAAAAACATAACTTCTGTTTGTACCCAAAGAGGTTTATTTATTACCAGTGTAAATCCAGCCAAAATTGGCAATTACTAAAGCTTGTAAAGAACATTTCTACCAGCACATGCAATTCTGCATTTTGTCTAGTATACAAATGGCCAATGCAGTATACTTCAGCAGAGGGTGTAACCTCTGCAAGTTGCATAATTGTATATAGTTTGGAGGTAACTGCATCTTAACCAGTGCTCAGTTTTACACTTGGAAGCCACCACAGCCTTGAAGATTTGATATTCCTTGTTGTTACGCTAGGTAACTGAAGGATTTTTATCATTTCTTCACGTCATATATCCATTATTTAGTTAATCAGAATGCAAGAATTCTGTACAGTACTGGTATGTAACTACATTACACAGATTTTTTTCCGCATTTGTGAAATTCCTTGTGCTCCAGTTGCAGGTACTTAAATCCCTGTTTCAAATTGACTAATAGCGATTATTAACCAGAATGTAATTAGTGTGCCATTATTCTTCCTTTTCTCTTTAATCCTTCTCTTCTGGTTGGCTCTTGTTTCCAGAACTGTAAAACTATTTGTTAGCAAAAGACACCCACCCCAGCTTTTCACTCCTTTTCACTGAAACAGAAATACTTGAAAATGCACATGAAAGTGAGCAGGTTAAATAACTGCTGAAAATATTTGAAAATGATTTGAAGTTGCGCTTCCTCTCACCCTTCTCTACTGCCTGCCTTTCTCTCCCTAGAACTAAGATCTTCTCCTTGGGATAAATGTTATAGACATTAGATAAAACATTTGTGGTTTCCCTGTTTGTTAATACTGAAAGATGCTCGTCTGTGTCTTCCAATGCAGTTTTGGGATGCAATATAAACATCAGGGATTCTAGTGACACCAAACCTAACTGGTCAGAAGGAGGATGTTGCGAAAGGAGGTGATAGGGACAGCATGCTGTTTTCTTTATGAATGTCCATGCTTTTGCTCTTTCTGAAGATATTTTTAACCATCTGATGACTTTTTGAGTAATTTGCAGTAACTGAGTTTGTAATGGACCAATGTCCACATTACAAAATGACACAGAAGTTGGAACAAAGTGGGGGGTTATCACACTGGGGCCAGAGGCTAAAAATGTAATGTATGTGTAGACTGAAGTTCTTCCAACTCCATTCAGAGCAGGATGAAGTATAAGGAAGCTTTAAGTATAAGGTAGCTGTGTTGTGTTAGAGTGTTTCCTTGTATTGTGGCTGCTAATCTGACCCTTAAAAACTACAAATAATGGGGGAAAAACCTTAATATAAAATGAAATACATAAAATGAAATGAAATAAAAACATATCCTGTACTTGTTATCCCAACTGCTTTTAAGAGAAAACCAAAAAGGCACTGACTTAACACAACTTGGAAACTGCCTTTAGACCAAGAGAACTGATAATGTGTTTTTAAAGAAAATGACACATTTTTGTGTCCTTTTTTGTGCCATTGGGTATACATGGGAGAGGACAGGACTGAGTTTGTACAGGGAGAAGTACTGGAGCAAGAAGATATGGCATAGAAAGGAGTAGGTATTTATGCAAGGTAGGATACTGGGGTTGTATGAGTGCTCGGATACTGTGCCTGTGGTATTAAGTAGGTGTCAGCAGTGATGGCAGTGCAAATGCATGGAGTGTGAAAATGGGGATGCTGACTATATTGAGTGGTTGTGCTAAGTGGCAGAGTTCTTTGGGTAAGTAAATGTGGGTTAGGGTATCCCAGTTCTGGGTTCAACTATATCTTGTCCTCTTTATGACTTCCCCAAGGAAAACCTCTTTCAGTTCTCAGGCAGACATCTTTTTTAGTCAAGTCTGCATATCCCTCCTTATGGCCCTACATTGCTGTTCCCTGGCAGTCCAATGTAATATTACCCCATTGTACCTCAGTTTAATTCAGGTCTTGTAGCTTGTGTTTCTCTGAAGGAAAAGCAACAGTTAACAGGGGCCAGTCAGCTTGCACAAAGCTGAGTACTATTTATCTAGGCCAAAAGTATTACAGAGAAAACAATAAACAGAGTCCGCATGTACTTAGTTTATCAGTATTACGTATCTTCCACATGGGGTCCTGGATGATGCAACACACAGATGTGCCAGATCATTGTTCTGGTGCGACTCTCTGAGTATGTTTACCTGGCACAATACAGTATTGTGCAGAGATGCCCATGGTAACTCTGAATGAGCACCCTATTGCATTAGCACAACACTCTACTTAGTTTCCATGTCCCAAATCAAGATTCTTTTATAATTTTTCTTTTATGTTTTTCAGACCTCTGGAACCCCAGAGCAGACCCATATGTGCAATCTTCTTCTAGGGGTCTGAATTATTACCTGTATTGGTGATCTGCATTAACTACTCCCAGTAAATTTAGCTTCCACAGGACACACATCCATTGAGCTAAGAATACAATTTAGGATCATAGGACTAGAGAGGACTCCCTGGCTGATGAAGTCTGGCTCTTCTTCTAGTCAGAGGTGGATTAAGATTTACTGGGGCCCTGGGCTGCCCCTTTGGCCTGTGGGTTAAAAAATTAACCCTGCGTTGCCCCTGTCCATAGGTCTGTGCTGGAGCCGGAGCCCGGGTCCAGTTGCGCAGGATCCTGCACAACATCGCCCTGTGGCTGAGAGGTGCCAGGGGTACAGTGCCACTGCCCACCAGGTGCGTGTGGTGCCACTGAGCTCCAGGAACATCCCTGCACCCCGCTGCGGCTTAGTTCAGCTGCAGTGGCACCTGCCCAACGTGGAGGATTGCGACCAGGCCAGGCTGGGACCTGGCTGCACTGAGGTTGCCCTGCCAATGGCCAGTGCCCTGCTCCCTGCTGTCTGTGACTGGCCGCTCCCAGGGCTCTGGTGCAGTCATGCCCAGCGGCCCACCCGATAGCTGGCAGCCATGGCCCACCACATTGCTCACACCTGGCTCGGCCACAGGTTTTGTCTGTGCATCCCCTCTCCCCTGTACCTGCCCTCCAGGCATCTGGGGGCCCCAGCTGGCCTGTGTGTTAATCCACCTATGCTTCCAGTCCTAAGCAACCATATCAAGTAATCCTTTTCAGAAATGTATCAAGTTCTATCTTAAAAGTGACAAGTTTTTTGCCCCCACTGCTCCATGTAGAGGCTTATTTTCAAAACCTCATTGCTTTGCTGGTTAGAAACCTACCTCTGATTTTTATATGGAATGTATTCATGGTCAATTTGTACCCATTTGTTTTTGTAAAAGGTGCATAACATGCATCATCTTGATAGAGCAAATCAAATATTCCACATGTCTATAGTTTCTGTGACATCTCAGTAGAATAGGCTTTGAAACTGCCTTGCTTCCAGAGCCTGGCATCTATCACACAAGAATAAGGAGTTGCGTGGTTGGTGTAAGAGAGTTAGGAGAATGGGTTTCAAGGTAGGGACTACAGGTGAAGACTTGGGAAATAAGTGAAAAGGAATGAGGCATGGGACTGGGGGCTGGAGGACCAATGCATTGGATGTAGATGGGGAAAGTGTTGGGGAGGTTGAGTGTGTGGGATGGATGTTTGTGAGGAGGTTACATGGCTGGCAGTTGTGAGAGGGGAGGAATTGGACCCTGTAATATTGGTAATGACTGCAGGTGGGGGCTGGAGGACCAGCGGATTGGATTTAGATGGGGAAAACACTGGGGGAGTAGTGGATGTGGGCACTGGATGTCTGAGAGTTGTGAGAGGGGAGGGATTGGACCATGTAGTACTGGGAATCAGTGCCTTAGCAAAGTTGTTGCGGGGGGAGGGAGGGTTGAGCAGGGTGACTGCCCCGGGCCCCAAAGCGAAGGGGCACCGCCAGGCGCTGCCCAGCCGGGGCGGGGTGCGGATGGAGCTGCAAGCTGCTCGCTTGGAGGGGTGCAGAGATGCGGGGGGAGGGCAGCTCCTGACACTGCTGCCCTCCCGGGGCCCCCCAGCCAGGCCGGGCTGCCACTATGGGCTTTGCCCCTGGTGCCAAACTTCGTTGCTAGGGCACTGCTGGGAATGACTGTAGGTAGGGGCTGGGGGCCGGTCGGCTGGATGTGGATGGGGAAAGTGTTGGGAAGTTGTGGGCATGGGGAAGGGGGTACAAGGATTGCCCCCGGAGGGGAGGGACTGGGGTTAGGTAGGAGAAGGCGGGACGGTGGGGGCGGGGCG